AGCACAGAAGGTTATCTGGCATGCAGTAAGTGATCAATTAAGTTTTGTCAATTGTTATTATTATCTGTTTCTTCATGAATTATACTATAGAGTACATGTCATGATTTTGCTTTCATGGATATCTGAGTACAGCTGAATAGGGGGTTCTAAATGAATGCTGTTTTTTTTTTTTTTTTAAAGTTTCAGTGTTCAGTATTTATATATGAAAGATTTCCCCTACTCTTCTCCATTGGCTGATAAATTCAGAGGAAGGAAAAGGCATCTCTTAGTAAGATTGTTTATGAACTTTTTTTCCAGCAGTGAAAAACCGTTGTAAAAATACAGATAAAAGCATTGCTGCTTTGACCATGGTGTGGGAAGGGGACAGACTCCTGGATCTCCATGCACCCCACTTCCCTTTATAACCCCTACCAGCTCATTATTGTCATGGGGGTATTTCTGGGGAGTCCTGGATGTTGACATCACCACCAATCCACAATGCACACAACAGAACACAATGGACAGTGACTGACAAATATAATTAATTCTCACTGTCTGAAAAAGGCCTGTGTGTAGGAGTCCTTCTTCCCAATCTTCATGTGTCTCCACTCAGCTCCCATTATACATTGTCATGGTTAATGCTTTGTTTAACTGGCAGGGTCTACAGTTTGGTACCAGAGAACTGGAGGAGATGGGAGCCATGTTCTGCTTGGGCCTCCTCATCCTGGAGCTCAAATCTGCCAGCTGCAGCCATCAGCTCCTGGCTCGAGCTGCAACCCTGCTGAGTGCTGAGGAGGAGGCTCTGGACCAGCACCTCCAGCGGTAAGATGCTCCCAAGGGCTCAGAGAAATTTGGACCTTGGTGGTTCCATTGCTGAATATCTCAGTAATGAAAGTCGAGTGGACCTAGGGGTCTTTACACAGACAAAATACGGGAGAACTGCCAAGTGAAGGTAGGTGCAGTTAGGCCCTATTGGATGACCCAAACCAGGGACATATCATTTCCTACTGATGATAAAGAGGATGCTGCCTGTTCATACACATATATGCAAATCTAAAACTATATGTATTTATACATATTTCTAGGTAACGCATTTTACTTATGATAAAGAAGATGTGTCTTGGGGACACACATGGATATCTACATACACTTATATTCTCCAGTTCTGTGTTTATATGTATACAGATAACATTTTTGAGCCATTACTCAGAAAACAACAATGGCAATCTCATTGGCAATATCTAGGCACTTGGAGACAAGAAATGCTTTACTCTCTTGCCATTCTCAAACACCATAGTTCCTTCTTGGAAGATGAAGGGAACCACTTGAAGATGATTAACGCATTGGCTCAGAGAACCAGACTCCCAGCCACAGCAGGGAAAGGCTGGATCTCTGAGAATCGTGGGGATTGTTAATGAGCCAAGGGAAGGAGAACCGTTATCCAAATGAGTCCTTTTGATGCTCTTTCCTGTTGAGAAATATTTTAGATTTGACCAAAACAAATTCAGGGGGCAAGAGGGGAAGAAATAATGGGCATATGAGAGGAGAGAGGATGGAGGGGAGTCCAAGAAGCCAAAGGCAGCTAAGTCATTGCCCACACTTTGAGTGTCAGAATGGATGGGAAAATTGAGCTGTTGGGAAAGTGTTTCCTGGTAAATGAGGAGGCATCTGGTCATGTACTTCACATCCAAAGGTAGAGAGAAAGCCATTCATCCTGGGACCATCTTATTTCTAGCTCATTTTCATGAATTTTCCTCCTGTTCCTGTTGGGCGGCTGTTGCAGTGTGACTTCTTCCCCAATGGCCAGTGAAGCCTAGAAAGATGTAGCAGTATGCCTTAATACTGCTTTGGAAGGCTCTGGTTTTCTGAGACTTGATTATCTAAATGCAGTAATTAACTTGCTCACCACACTGGGCTATAGACCATAGACTACAGAAACTTAAATTTAAGTGCAGGGCTCTTTCCTCCATAGAGCTGCTGCTGCTGATTTCTTTTGGCATCACAACCGCTTCCGCCTGCCCTGGCCCCTTCAACACCCCTCAGTGTCTGAAGGCTTCGTGTGTTTGGTATCATTGTGGTGTTTTCAGACTCTCCCTCTGACAGCAAGCACTTCCACCTGCCAGCATATATATTTCAACTTGTCTTTTCATCTTTTCCTTTACTAAGCTATCTTGGGTGTAGGCATGCCTGGATTTTTTTTCCTTCTTTCCCTTTTTCCCCCTCTCTCCTCTGCTGCTCATTCAGGGAGGATTGAGCAGAACTGGCATTGCTTGCTTTCGTCAAATTGATTGTGCCCATCTGTTTGATCCAATGCAGTGAGGATTAGTTGCCTGCAAACTGGAACAAAAAGAAATCTATCAAAGAAATGCCTTTTCTAATTCAAGTCTAAAGAATTTGATGTCAGGCTTCAAATACAATGGCTGCTATATAGGTTATTATAAGGAGATGGTATTATTTGCCCCTACCTTTCCACACCATTTCACACAACTATTAGTTTTTCAATTGCATCCTGACAAAGGGGATTGAAGCTAGAGGTCCTTCCATGACCTCTGACCTTTCCTAGGCTGGTGCAGCTCCTTAAGGGCAGGATACCTGAACACAGGATGTGATTAATATGTCTACTTTGAATAGGTTTGAATTAAGTTTGGCAGACATGGAGTTTGGTGGAGATCAGCAGGAGGGAAACTACCTATTTCACCCAGACATTTGTATGGTAATATATTTTCCTATTTGTTACGAAGCAGTTGACCACACAGATTGTGATTCTTGCCAAAAGGACCTGAAAACTACATGGTTGTGAGGGAGATCACCCTGAGCATTTCTTGACCCCCAAAATATTCCAGCCAATAAGCTTATGGTCACAAAAAGATGACAGAGAGAACATTTATAAAATCTGGTTTCAAACCATCAATAGGTTTTTTGAGAACCATTTGATTAGTTTCTGAAGAATAAAGTTAAATCCTGAGATGTAATAATCAGCAGAGTGAAACCTAGAACTTTTGTTGGTATCAGGATTCTTATTGTAATACAAAGAGTGTAACCAATGTTTGTCAACACAAATCTGTGTATGTTTTAAAGAGGAGACCTCTACCACCCTCCTCCCCTCCTGCCTCTTCCTTGGATATAACAGGGTTTCCAGCATCCCACAAGGAGATTTGTGTTGTTGTTGCACGGAAGGAATTATGAATAACAAGGTGGGTGAGGGGGCTCTTCTCCAAAGATCTGCCCTAAAGAAATACAAGAATGGCTGTGTGCCATGGCTCATACCTGTAATTCCAGCACTTTGGGCCTAGGCGGGCGGATCACGAGGTGAGAAGTTCGAGACCAGCCTGACCAACATGGCGAAACCCTGTCTTGAACCCAGGAGGTGGAGGTTGCAGTGAGCCAAGATCGTGCCACTGCACTCCAGCCTGGGTGACAGAGGGAGACTCTGTCTCAAAAAAAAAAAAAAAAAAAAAATGCAAGGATGTGGTACTGCATCCTCTCCTAGGCACACAGACAGCATTAACTCCTGGGGAGTGATCAGCCAGGAAGACAAAGTGTGGCTGCACACTGTGGACATCGTGTTTTCTGACAATAGGTTTCATGCTTCATTTACCATAAAAACAATTAGAGTGTAGTCAATATCCACAGAGCAACTCACCATTTTTCAAGAGCAGAAGAGCAGGGATAGCGGATGTTTGCCTAGTGACTGACGCTTAAAATGAAGTACATGCATGCTTTGTTATGTGTTTCCTTTTGCGGTCTTCTTCTTCCCAGTTGCTCATTTCAGAAATGTCTGCATACTCATGAAAGCATCTTTTGATCTTTCCTTTCCTTTTGCTTTCTCTTTCCGCTCAATCTTATCCCTGGAAATAATTGTGTGTGCACTGCAGGAATGCTAAGCTTCTTCTTCAGGAGGAGCTGTTTATCGATTGTGACAGGTCTTTTGCAAAGTCATTTAAGTTTTGCCAAGTCAGCCACTGTTCTTCTCGATTTGTATCCCTCCATTGCCTCTTGCTCTTCTCAGCCGAGCCCCCCACCCTCCATTTGTCCCTCCACTAATAACAAGAGAAAGCTAAAGCTCAGAGCTTCAGAGCTGTGCCTCAGCAATGGCTCAATACCTCTCATGTTCTCCGAAATTATAGTCCTGTTGCTTTAGCCTGGGCTTACCTTAGTATCTACATAAACTAGGTTTGTTTGACGGGATTACACTAAAAGAATAAAAATTCTACATAGATCTTAGAAAAAAATGTTTAATAATTTAAAAAGCGCTTGATTTTCATTTGTAAAAGTATGATTTCGTTCTTTAGAATGAGAAAATGAAATTAGGAAGGCAGACAAAAGCGCCCCTATCCCTGTCTCATCATCCTGATAACTACTGTCAACATTTTGGTGAAGTATCTTAAATTATTTCTCTCGTTTTTAACTTAGTTTATTGTTTTAAATTGACAGATAAAATTGTATGTGTTTATTGTGTACCATATGATGCCTTGCAGCACATATACATTGTAGAATGGCTAATTCTAGTAATTAACCTATGTATCACCCCACAAAGTTATCATTTTTGTGGTGGGAACATTTAACATCCACTCTTCTGTCATTTCTCAAGAATATAATATATTGTCATTAACTACATTCATCATGCTGACAATAAATTATTTGAACTTATTCGTAGGTTATGTTTTTTACCTATAGATAAATAGACATACAGTACTCTCAAAAACAATGTGCTATAGTTCTTCTTCTTGCAGCTTTATAAACACTGGT